GTGGGACCCCGTGCACCCGCCCTGCCCTGGCTCTGCCGCTCAACCCATCCCAAGATCTTGGGCAAGCTCTGCCTTCAGCGTGACGCTGGCCTGGCACCAGCCGTAGCAACAAAATCGCATCCAAAGTGGCTTTTATGCACCCAGAACAGCAGGAGCAGCAGCAACGTTAATGCATCCAGGAGCTACCTATGGCTATTGAAATGGGGGATTACAGGCATAAAGGCTTGGCTGACTCACTAGACCTCATTAAAGTCTAATAATCTCTGTAAAGATGCAGTTTTGCAGATATGCAGCCTGGCCCTCTGCTAGAGCTCAGCGAAGGCCCCGTTAGCCATTTGATAATTTGGGCACAAACCCATAAAATGTGTTTATTTGTGGTGTGGAAGCACTTGAGTCAGGATTCCCTCCGTGAGGCTCAACCTTGGCCGTTTGGTTTAGGAGCAAAAGGGCCAGGCTTGTCCCAGCAGGGGACGTTACAAGAGCTGCGATGCCGCTGCTGGAGATTTGGAGGGGACACAAAAACCAGGAGCAGCAAAAATGTGAATGCTTTGAGCAGCCACCACCCTCCAGACGACGGGCTCTGCACCCAGCTAGCTATTGCCTGCCTGAAAACTTCATGGAAGATAAAGCTGAGCTGGACTGTGCAGCAAGCTGGGTTAGAAATCATGAAATCTAACATGTATGTATTTGTCTTCTCACATCTAAGCCTCTAGAAATCCCATATTCTTGTTGGTTTGTTTGTTTTTCTGTGATGAAGCCAATTGTTGTGTTTTTTCTGGAAGCTGAAGTTCTTGAGTAACTGAGGGACTGTGACAGCCACCGCTCTGGGAACTCCTCCAAACCTGCCAAATTCTGGTGAAAACCTCAAAGGTTGGCGCCTCCGCAGCGTCGCTGCCTTTAAAGAAGTTCTCACGTCAAGCAGAGCTCCGGTGACAATAACCTTTTGTTGCTCATTATTTTGTCCAGAGGCTTTTCATGAACAAACTTCCTTCATGTTCGAGATCTTGGCGGCTGGCTGCAACCTGCTAAAAATGTCTACAGCTGAAAAAAAAAAACCTGCCTGACCCCGAGTCGGAGGAAAATTGATGCCTCGAAGCTGTCGTAGCGGTGAGAAGGATCCGGTTGTGCCACCCTTGCATTAAATCGTGCCTTCCTGTGAGATTTGTCCTTTCCGAAATCCTGGAGTAATGCATTAGCACGTTTTGGAGGTGACAGCTGGTCGTAAGAGTCTCTTTTGAATCAGAGGCCATGGCTGGGTTTTTTGGATATGGTAAATAGGAAATGGTAGAAAGGCAAAGTCTGATTGACTGGAAGATTACAGAGGGAGAAGGGGTCCCAGTGACATACAGAGAGCTGGGTTTAGGTTTATTTGCAGATTAGTCCTAATTATCTTTTACGATACTGAGCAATAATAAAGGAGCACTTGAGCTGCGCAGAGTTGAGAAAATGATCTTAATGGGAGAATTGCTCAAACATTAAACAGGATTTTAGGGAAGCATAGAACCATTTGGATTGGAAAAGACCTCCGAGATCGTTAGCTCCAACCATTAACCGAACGCTGCCGAGTCCACCACTAAACCAGGCGTCGCGTCGGTTCAGTCCTTAAAACCAGGGTAGGTGGAACGATGGGAACCACTGTCCTTAAAACCAGAGGAGGGGGAACGATGGGAACCACCGTCCTTAAAACCAGGGGAGGTGGAACGATGGGAACCACCGTCCTTAAAACCAGGGAAGGTGGAACGATGGGAACCACCGTCCTTAAAACCAGGGGAGGTGAAACGATGGGAACCACCGTCCTTAAAACCAGGGGAGGTGGAACGATGGGAACCACCGTCCTTAAAACCAGGGGAGGTGAAATGATGGGAACCACCACCCTGGACCAGAGAGCAGTGCTGGGGCGATGTTGGGCTGGTTGTATTCCTGCAGGGAGTGCATCAGCCTCTTATTTATTTTTTTTCCTGACTCATCTACTCCCAGTGCTGGGGATCGACTGGTCCCCACCAGCTCTAATGAGTGCAATTAACGGCCGGGGGCTGCTGATTGGCGGGAGGGTGGAGCAGGCTGTTCTGGGAAGCCGGTTTCTAAATGTGCAGAAGCGCAGGTTAGCTGGGCTAGGAGACTCATGAAATTTAAATTAGGAGGATTTTGTGGGGAAGAGGAAAAAAGTATTAACAAACTAAAGAGAGCTAATTACTGGAGATGGAGAATATTGGCTGTGTAGTTGTAGATGACAGCAGTAAGTAGTTCCCATCAGGGCTTTTCCTGCTTTGGAGACAAAGAGATCTGCCGTCCACTGAGTTGTCAAAGATGATAAGGGGCTGCATTTTATAAATGGAGATAGGCACTAATTGCAAAAATGCCTGCGAATTCTTTGGTGGCGCTTTGCTGAACCCTGGTGTCGCGGAGGGTTTTTGAAGTCTGCCTTTCCAAAGCCATTACGCGCCGCTTCGTTTGTAATGAAGTTTGCAACTCGCGGAACTTCATTTGGATGAATTTTAGCTTCCCCCACCCCCAAAACTATTTCATGTCCAGCTGCTGAGGGGGAAAGTAATTAAACCTTGGTTCCTTGTGTGATATTGCAGCAGTCACAGGGATTTAACTCCTCAAGCTCAAGAAGCAGAAGCAACTCCACGGCCAACCTCCGCCATGCAGCACAGCTTGAGCAACACCCCACAAAGCTGCAAGCAAATGCATTCTAGTACACCTTGACTTAGTCTGCAACAAGGGGAATTTTATCAGAGTTGGTGCAAAGGCTCTCCCTTACGTCTCGGTGTAGCAGAGGGCAAGTGGGAGGAGGGGGTGCAAAGGGCGGTCGGATTTAGGGTGTGATTTATACTTTTTTCCCTCCCTCTTGTATTGCTTGCCCTCCAGCTCAATGAAATCCTTCTTTTCTGAGCAGGGTTGTGACTCCGCTCGCAGGAATCCTCTTCTCCCCAGCCCGAATAATGGCCCGTCCTGGTCTCCTAGTTCGCCTGCCACAGCACTTTTGACAATGGAGCATCCTTCGTAGCCCCGTTCTCTGCTCCCGCTGGCTGCTCTGTTTCTTCAACTGGCAGTTGTCTGAACTTTCTCCAAATGAGCAATTTTTGTGTTTTGGGGGGGGCTGTGTTTGTTTCGTGTGTGCTGGCAGAAAGGGCTTTAACTGGGTCTTTTTGTTATTCCTTCCTTAAAGCAAGCGTGAACCCTTGGGGAAGGTACTTTTGTGAGAGAGCTCCTGGTAGGGTGGTTTTTTGTTTGGTTGTGGGTTGGTTTTTTTTTCCCCTCCCCAATACCAAATATTGCTCGTGTTATTTTCTGAAACCGTGCTCTCAAAGCGTTTTAAACTTTCTGTTCTTGGAGTAAAAGTCTTCTCATTGATTGTTGCACTAAAAGGCTTTCTTTGCTCGATGCATTTTGGAACCGACCTCTGCCTGGATATAAAAGTGCATGTAATGAAACTTTGCCAGCAGCCAGCAAACCTCTCCGCGAGCTGCAGAGAAGGAATTGGACTTGTGAAGGCTGAAGCATAAAACCTGCTCAGGTTGTAATACCTGAGGGGTAGGGGCATTTTTGGAGTTGATCTGGCGCTCTGGACATCATAGAATCGTTGCCCAGTTCTACGATGCTCTGGATATGAGGAGGTTTGGGGGAAAAGGAAGGGCTGGGGTGGGGGGAGCTGCTTCTTTTGACCTTTTCTGGAGGAGGGGATTGTGTCAACATAAGTGGGAGCCTGAAATTTGGGGAGAGGAGGTTGGGAATACCCAGCAGCAGTACAGAATGAGACCCTGCTCGAGCAACAGCAGCCACACGCCTGGGTGAAGGTCCAGGTCCTGGCAGACCCCAAAGCTGGACCCAACGCCCAGTTACTAGAAGGGGCGAGCCCAGACGCCTCTGAACTGAGCTGAATTTGATCACAGGTCGAGGCGATGCCCTGTGCTTCCTTCACAACCCCTCCGGTTTATTTTCCTTCTCCTCTGAGGACACTGAGACTGTTCTCAGGAAAAACACTTGACCTGCCTTGGTGCCACTGTGAAAACTTTATTCTCTCTGCCAAGGACAGGGTTGTAGTGGGTTTGTTGTTGCTTTTTTTTTTTTTCTTTTTTTTAAACCTGCAGGTAAATTAAATGCTACAGTCAGAGCTCCACTTCACACACACTGGCGCGCACCTTTTCGCCGAGGAACGGCTGCGCTCGGAGCTGGGCGAGGGTGGGAGCGGGTGCCGGGGAGCCGGCAGTGATCCGAAGCAGGGATGAGATGAAGGGGAAACGCATGAATCACGGCGTGTCAGGGGAAACACATGAATCATATATTGTGTCAGCAGATTTGACAGATTCCGCTAGGATTTCTCTATCTGTGGATCCACGGTTGCAAGTCCCTGAAACCCTTCCCCGTGCCGCGGCGCCCGGTCTGAGCTGTGGTGGGGTGTCACCCTGGGAAAGTCCCACCCCGGCTCCCCATTTCCATCCCGGTACCCTGATGTGGGCA